CCAGCATCAGTATATCCAACTAAGCCAGAGGTAGTGGAATCCTTGGAATAATATAATCCCAAATCTATGGTTCCTCGGAGATAACGAAAAATATGTTTAATTCCATTCCAGTGTCTCCGAGTTGGCTCAGAACTAAAACGTGCCAATAAATTTACCGCAAAAGCGATATCTGGTCTCGTACACTGTACCAAGTACATCAAAGCCCCAATTGCATTGAGATATGGTACTTCAGGACCAAGTATCTCTTAACGGATCCTTTTGAGAACCTTTTGAGAATCTAGAAACCTTACAACCATAGGGGTGCTCAATGGGTGAGCCTTGTCCATGTTGAAGCGTTTAAGTAATCTTTTAATGTATGCTGATTGATGGACGATTATTCCATTTGCTTTATGCTCAAGCTCTAGACCAAGACAAAGTTTGGTTTTACCCAAATCTTTAACTTCAAATTCCATTTTCAAATACTCAGCAGTTTTAGCTAACTCTTCTGGAGTTCCAATTAAATTTATATCGTCGACATAAACTGCTACAATAGCAAATCCGGTTTCTAATTCTTAATATACATGCATGGGCAAATAAGATCATTCTTTTACCTTTCCTTAATTAGGTACTCACTTAGGCGTTGATACCACATGCAACCGGATTGCTTTAGCCCGTACAAAGATCTTTGCAATTTTATTGAGAATAAGTTGCGGGGAGTGCATGCATCAGGCATTTTGAATTCCTCGGGAATTTTCATATAAATATCCGAGGCTAATGAACCATATAGATATGCCGTCACAACGTCCATAGGACGCATTTCCAATCTTTCAGATAGTACCAGGCTAATGAGAAAACGAAATGTAATCATATCCATCACAGGTGAATATGTCTCATCATAATCAATCCCAGGTCTCTGGGAGAATCCTTGGGCAACGAGTCGGGCTTTACAACCTCGTTTTTCTCATTCGTTTCCGGACAAATATCCATTTATATCCAACGGGCTTTACATTATCGGGGATGCGAGTTATGGGTCCAAAAACCTCTCGTTTGGCTAGGGAAGCTAATTCAGCCTTAATTGCTTCCTCCCATTTAGACTAATCTTGCCGTTGACGGCATTCAATAATAGATTGCGGCTCATAATCATCATCCATAATTTTATGAGCAACTGAGAATGCAAAAGCATCATCAATGATGATTTCATTCCGATCCCAAATCTCATTATAATATGTAATGGAATTCTCAGTAATCCCAGGGTTGGTGATCTTTTCATGGGTTTGTGCCTCTTCAGGGGCAATAAGCTCTTTGGGAGCAAGCATAATACCAGGCTCTTCTGGAGTAGATTTCTGATTCTTTCCCCTTCGTTTTCGAGGAACAGTATCTTTTGATCCTATCAGTCTACCGCGTTTCAAGTGTGGGGGATTTTGATCCATTTTAGCTTGTCCTTTGGGAACAGCTATCCTAGCTGGAGCATTTGCAGCTGGAATATGAGACTTCGTTACCTTAGTAGCATCATTAAAATCGTCAGGAAATCTATTGGCCATAGCCTGTAAATGGATTATGCACTGCACCTCGTTTTCACACTCAGGAATTCTTGGGTCTAATTGAGATAAATTTTTCTCATTCCAGGAGAAAACCTTAACTGGTTTTTGCTTCGCAGCCATGTCAGTTTTAGGTGTCCCAATTGATGGAAACATAGTCTCATTGAAATGACAATCTGCAAATCTGGCAGTAAAAAGATCACCAGTAGTTGGTTCCAAGAACTTAATGATGGACGGTGAATTAAACCCAACATAAATGCCCAAATGGCGTTGGGGACCCATTTTCGTTCTTTTTGGTGGTGCTACAGGCACCTGTACTGCACAACCAAAGGTGCATAAATGTGAAATATCAGGTTCATAACCAAGAACCATTTGAAGGGGAGATTGTAAGAGACTAGCAGTAGGGCGCAATCTTATTAGGGCTGCCGCATGCAAAACTGCATGACCCCATGCTGTATCGTTGAGATTCGTTCTCAATAATAGAGTGCGGGCAATGATTTGGATATGTTTAATCAAGGATTCTGCCAATCCATTTTGAGTATGAACATATGCGACCGAGTGCTCAACCTCGATTCCGAGTGTAATACAATACGTATCAAAACTCTTTGATGTAAATTCACTAGCATTATCCATCCTTATGCTTTTAATTGGATAATCAGGGAATTGTGCCCGGAGCTTTATAATCTACGCAAGTAAACGTACAAAGGTGACATTGCGCGTAGATAATAGACAAACATGGGACCATCTACAGGATGCGTCCACTAGTACCATAAAATATCGAAACGGTCCACTTGGTGGTTGTATTGGTCCACAAATACCACCCTGAATTCTTTGCAGGAATAAAGGGGATTCAATATTAACCTTTGTTATAGAAGGTTTGGTAATGAGTTTTCCTTGTGAACAAGCTTCACAATTATAATCTTTGGACAACAATGCCTTTGTATCCTTTAAAGGGTGCCCTTTTGTATTCTGAATTATTCTACGCATCATTGAAGCGCCAGGGTGACCAAGGCGATCATACCATAATCCAACTCATCAGGGTTTACCAATCTCCAGGATATGGTGGAGTAGGTTTCAACGGCCTAATCATGACACGATACAAACCCATAGAAGAAGCTTCTAACTTCTCATGGATGGTCTTCAAGCCCATCTTATAAGAGGTAATGCCAATATATTCTTTATTTTGCTCATAAATAGTCTCAATATGGTACCCATTACGGCGTACATCTTTGAAGCTAAGCAGATTCCTTTTTGATCTAATGCTTAGAAATGCATTCTCAATATGCAGGATGGTGCATTTAGGCAAAACAATTGTGGCATTCTCGAAACCATCAATAATCGAAATAGGACCTGATATTGTATGGACATGTGTCTTACGCAATGCCATACTCGAGAAAAAAGTGTCTACTACGAAATATGGTATGTGTTGATGCACTATCAAGCAAACAAACATCTTCCTTTTTCTCGGTATTTTCCATTTGCATTTATGTTGACAACTTCAGGTGTCAAGTATCATAAAATTTTCATATTAGTTATAGGGTCAAATAAAATTTCAAAATAATAAATATTATATCAGGTTCATAAGCATTTCATTCATAACCATATTTAAGAACAATAAAAGGTAATACATTTAAAGAAAAGCAACTAGAAAATAAATTATTAGAATCATAAAATTCGAAGTCTAAGTTGTCATCCACCAGTCTGATGCTTCATCAAAGTAATCAGAGGTCCTCAAAGAAATCAAAGACATCCAGGGATGTATTTGCTACTTCAGGAGCAAGAGGAGTCCCACCAACAGAGATATTGTTGGCCTCAACAGTGGTTATGGCAGTAGGATTAATTTCAATGGCGTGAGATTCACCACCCTTGCCCCTATTTTTTAAAGATGCCTAGTATAGATCAACAAAGTACTTTGGCGTACGACAAGTACGTGACCAGTGCCCAGTCATGCCACAGCGATGGCAAATACTTTCATTAGTCACCTTTTTTTGCTTCTTTTTTTTTTGTCATGATTCGGGCCAAAGTTAGATTTCCTAGGGCGGTTAAATTTCTTGCCACCCCTTCGAGGATTATGTTCTTGCCTGAGCTTATAGCCCTTAAAATGGCCAGTATTTTTCTCAGAGTTAGCATGTGCTTCAGGCAATACTTTTGACCCAACGGATCTAAGATCATGATTTTTGAGCAGCAATTCATTAGTTTGCTCAGCAGTGAGGAGCACATAAATTAATTCATAGTATGTGGCAAATTGACGTTGCCGGTATTGCTGTTGCAATACAATATTCGAAGCATGGAAGGTGGAGAAAGTTTTCTCTAACAGTTCCGCATCAGTGAGCTTGATACCGCATAACTCAAGCCGAGAAACAATATCAAATAAAGCGGAGTTATAGTCAGACACTGATTTAAAATCTTGCAGTCTGAGATTTTGCCAGTCATATTGTGCTTGAGGGAAGATAACAGTCTTGGTATGATCATACCTGTCCTTCAACCTCTTCCACAGGGTCTGAGGGTCTCGAAGGGATAAATATTGAGTCTGCAGGCTCTCATGCAAATGATGACGAATAAAAATCAGTGCATTTGCTTTATCTTTTGCATTTGAGGTACCGTCTTCTGTAATTGCATTAGCGAGATCTTTCCCTTGGAGGTGCATTTCCATGTCAAGGCACCAGGATAGATAATTATTTCCACTCACTTCCAGGATGTGGAATTTGGGCTTTTCAATATTTGTCATAATTCTTGCAAAACAAATGAATCCTTAAATTAATCAGAAGGATTTCCAAATATCCATCGCCACTTCAGGAACAGAAGGATACTTTTAGATTGGAAATTGGCTTCAGGCCAAGAAAAAGAAAAATGAAGAATTGATAGGAGAAAATGAAGTATAAGTTGATTAATGAAAACAAAGAGAACACTTACCTTGCAAAAATTATTTACTCAGTTGGTAGATCTTCGTGCTGATAACGTGTTGTAAAATATTGCGTTGCAAGTATATAATAGAGAGAATAGAGATTAAGTAGAGAATGCAGATAAACACCCAAGATATATATTTTCTCTTTTCATTATGTTCTGATTTCTTACACAATGACCAAAACTAAACTCCTATTTATAAGAAAACAAGAATGCACATATCATTAATGTCAATTTATTGAATACATACATTGAATAAGGAGATGAACATTCATTGGAGATTGCATGTAGAATGTAGGTTACAAATGTACCATAATAGGTACATTGAATATACATTCATGTATGTAGGTTGCAAATGTACCATAATAGGTGCATTGAATATAATGAATATTCATTCATGTATTTCATAATAAATTGGGATTATAATAAGAGAAAAAAGAGATAAAAAAGAGTGAGTAGATTATTTCTCTTACCTATTATTATATGTAAGGAAAAAAAAAGACAACGAAGAAAGGATAATGGGAAAGAGAGATTATGATAATGTCAAATGGCTATATGTCAGCCATCTATAAGTCTACCTCAATGCACAGATGTTCATACATAATATTAGATTGTGAGACTTAAACTTGCACAAATGGTCGCACAACTATAAGTCCAAAACAAATGGCAAACATTACATATATTCAGAATACACAATCAACCCTAGAAGTCCTCATGGGCAATTAATAGGCATGTCCCTATAGTAACAGAGGATCAGATGCTGGAACCTGCTGAATAGAAAAGAGAGGCCGACGTCCCATGTTGGCTCATCTTGGAAGTAATTGAAGTCGCAAGGGAGGAGAGGTTTTCTTCATCCAACTCGCTTTCGGTCTCTTCCTTGTTTTCTTCAACTGTTGAGCTGTTGAGCTCGCGGTTAATCCTGGTGAGTTGCTCAGCCACTTCCCTCATTGCCGGCCTCCTCGCACCACATTGGTCCAAGCACTTCACTGCAATCTCAGCAACCATTCCTACTCTCTCCATTTCATCTTCACTAGTGTCCTCGAAGTTTATGACATCGGAGAGTGTCTTATCCTTCACGGAAGAGATGAAATAATGGACGATATTGATCGACTCTCCGGACTTAGTAACAAAACTTGTAGGCTTCTTTCCCGTGAGCAACTCCACGAGGACAGCTCCAAAGCTGTATACATCACTGTTAACTGTTAGCATACCGGTAGTTAAATATTCCGGATCGATGTAGCCCAATGTGCCTTGTATTTCATTGGCTAAGACATGACTACGCTCCGGTGATATAAGTACCGAAGTTCCAAAATCAGATACTTTTACTGAGTACTTTTGATCCAGAAGTATGTTCACCGACTTGATGTCACCATGAATGATTGGAGGTTCTGCACAGGAATGCATATACTCGAGTGCAAGAGCAGCTTCGGCGGCTATTCTAAGCCGGTTTTTCCACGATCTAAAGGTGGTCGACACATTTTGATGGATGTGTTGGAAAAGGGTACCATTCGAAATGTATTCATAAACTAGCAATGGTATTCTAGTTTCCAAACATACGCCATGGAGCTTCACCACATTTTTGTGGTTTATTTGCATCACAATTTCAAGTTCATGTTGGAAATCCCCCTTGATTAGAGACTTGTGCACATCTTTAGGCTTCTTCACTGCGACCACGGTGTCCCCCGCCATTGTGCCTCTATAGACAGAACCGAAACCACCCTCGCCGAGCTTATTGCTATCATCATAGTTGTTGGTTGCTTTTGCCAGTTCTGTCTCCGTAAAGATTTGAACTCTTTGGTGTTTCAAGAGCTCTCCACTATTTCGGCTGAAGTTTCTTTTTTTGATTCTCCTCCTCTGCCACTTTTTAAAGACTAAAGTACCAACAGCCATGAAGAAGAAGGCCCCAATAAGCGCTGCCAAAGTATATATGTTACTGGACTAATGATTCGATCATGTAATCGCTATCCGGTCCACATAATTCATAAAAGAAATTAATTTCAAACGGACTACCCACTTAATCTATTATTACATAATCCACATCCATTACCATTTTATTTGGATGACTAGTCTATCTTTTAAAATACAACTACCCAATTTAACGGTGATAAATATGGTTTCTGAAACAATTGGATTACACATATTATGTATCATGTAACAATCCTTATGAAAGTCCTTATTTAAAATTTGACGTGCATCATTATAAACCGAATTATTAATCAATTGAACTCAATCCAAGTACATATCACTAGCGTCTTCTATTGCTCCTCCCAATGTCTTTCCTTGATTATAATGAAGAAGGTTTGTAATAAAACAAAAAAGAAGGAGGAAGCATTCACCTCCCGTTGTTTTAGCTTTTTCCATATACAAAAGGTATGAAAACCCATCTTACCTTACCAAAAAAAAAAAAAGTATGAAAACCCAGGGAAATCTTTTAACCACTTATGTACGAACATAGATATCACCCAAATTTGCATGTGGGTAATGTGTATAATATATAACCTGCCAATTAAAAACATGATTGAAGGATATATACTCTAACTAGAGATGAATGAATATAACCATTTTAATCTACAGATTAAATTATTTCTCCAAAACTAATTTTAACCACCTTGAGATGAAAAATCGCCCCTACACCCCCCCCCAGCCGCCCCGTGCCTCGTGTGGGAGCACCACCGTGGAATTAATTTCTCTCCGAAAGAACTAATCCACTTACAAGATGGCCACTTAGGGCTTGTTTGGTAACCGGCCAAACAGTGCCTAATTCTATTCTTTTGTTCCCAGGAACAAAAAAAGAACAAAAATCCATTTGGTAAATGTTTTTGTTCCCGGACACAAATTTGTTCCCAGAATCAGTTTTGAAACATAATCAAGAATAAAAAAAAAAGTTGATTCTTAATTCTGAGAACAAGAATTTTTTTTTCTTCTTCTTTCCTGGCATGTGGCCGGTGACCAGCCACAGATCAGGGCCAGCGAGGGCATTGCAACCCTCGCCCTTGCGGTAAGGGCGAGGGTTGGACCCTCATGGCCTGGGTGAGGGCCGCCCTCGCCGGATCTGGCGAGGGCTAGACCCTCGTGGCTTGGGCAAGGGTCGCCCTCACCGAACCCTCGCTAGATCTGACGAGGGCAACTCGCAGCCTGGGCGAGGGTCGCGACGCCCTTGCAAGCCCTGGCCTGTGGCCGGTCGCCGGTGCCGGTGACCTGGCCCATGGGCCAAGGAAGGAGAAGAAGAAAAAAAGAAAGAAAAAGGAAAAAAGAAAGAAAGAAATATTAAAAAATTTAAAATATTATTAATAAAAAGAAATTTTGTGCTCTTTTTCTATTTCCGGAATAGAAATTTTGGGCAGTTACCAAACGCCTTCAAATGCTTATAAATTATTTCCGGAAATGGAATAAAAAAAATCATTTCTGAGCAGAAATTATTTTCGAAAACAGAATGATTACCAAACGCGCCCTTAACGTTTTTCTTATTTTAATAAAAAAAGAATGACATCATGAGTGGATTTCATATAAAATGAGTGGGCTCATGGGCTGGTTTTATAGAGCCGAACAAGCTCCAACCTTCACAAATTAATCAATGTGGAACAATGTGAAGATGAAATATATTGAAAACAATTGGACCACATTGCCTACCTAAAGGACTTTTCAAGCGTACATCTTCTTTAAAAGCAAGACTTGCAAGGAGAAGTGATTGTTCTTATTCTTATTATTATTATTATTTCATATTTCTATAAAAATTATTACAAATAAAAAATGTATTTTCTCTTAAAAGTGTACACGCGGCTTCTCTAATGCTAGCCTTATTAGCCAGTCTCGACTATTGTCTTGCCTAATGCCCCGCGAGGCATTTTTTCCGCGGGGAACTTTGCCCCAATCAAGGTGGTGTTGGCGGGGCACAGATTCCTCGTGCCCATCCCAAAAAAACCCGCTGCCCCAGGCTTTTAGGTATGGATCCATTCCTTTTTTTCTAGCTTATTATCCAAACTTTGACGTTTAAAATTAAACGTCAAACATATATGCTTAACTTCAATAACTTTATATACGTAAGATAGATGATAAAATGTATTTTTATACCCCGGAAAAACTAATACTTCCACGGTTAAATCTCAATTAAACTGTTACCACGGATTATTATACCGTGCTCTGCCGGCCTAATCTAAAATTGCACAAGCAGTGCAACTGGGATCTGTCATTTGTCCAACAGCTACAGTTCCGTTTATTCTAAAAGTCTCTGTGTGTCTGTTTCTACTATTTTACTTTTTTTCTTTATTTTTTTTTCCGTTTCTCTCTTTTAATCTCTTTTATTAGATAATCAATTGAAGATCTTGTGAACCATTCCCGGGGTAATACCTAAAAGGAACGATTTTTACCCAAATCCAAACTCAACCAAGACATGTAAGTCTGAATAATAATTACTGTAAAAGAATTTGGCAAAAGAAAAATAAAAATAAGCCCCGATCCAATCCATGGGTGTGATCGTTGAAGGTGAGTCTTCATCAATCTTGAAGTTCATCCTTATGCGCCAGTTCACCAAGCAATGGCGTTTGGCCTCCGTGTCCCTCTAGGGCTTGGGAGCCATTATTAGGGAAAATTGTCGAAAAATGTCAAAAAGTCCTAAACCTTTGTTTGGTGCCAATTCAATCGTAAATCTTTTGACATAGTGTCAATTAAGTCCTTCCAACTAATTTTGCCCGGATTTTACTGTCGTGGACGCCAGCCAGTCTATAGGCCCGTTTGGTTCAACTTTGCAAATGAGCCTTGGGGGAATGTAAATACCTTTAGGTTAAAGCTCTTTGGAGAAATGCAAATGGCGTTTGGTAAAAAAACTTTTGTGAAGCTACTTTGGCCCAAATAGTGTTTAGCTAATTTTTTTTGCAAAGGGCTTTGAGATTTTCTTTTTTATTAAAAAAAAAGCTTACCCTTCGCTGGAGCTGGTAATGGGCTACGGCCGCCGGCGAGCCAGATTTGGTGTCAGCGGCCGTCACCCGAGGACGGGTGACGGCGGCCTGGGTCGAGCGACCCCAGATGACGGCCGCTTGGGTCACGCGACCCTCGCCTGGGGTTGCCTGACCTTGGGCAACGGCCGCCGGAGGTCGCGCGACCTCAGGCTGCCGTCGCCTGGGGTTGGGCGACCTGCGTCGGCCCTTCGCCATTCCGATTTGGTGTCGTCGGCCCTCACTGGAGCGCAAAGAAGATGAATAGTAACAAAGGGGCAAAATCAAAATATTAAAGAATAAATGAGGGTAGTTTGGGAAGCAAAAACTTGGTTCCAGCATTTGGCAGATGCTGAAAGCCCAAAGCTGGTCCGAACTAGCTTTGAGCTTAAAGCATTCTCAATGCTGGCTTTTGGCCGATAGCCCATTGGGAATGCTTGCCAAATGCTCTAGCATTTTCCCAAGGGGCTTTCGGGCCTTGGGAATGCTGAACCAAATGAGGCCCATGTGGCATCATTGGCGCTAATGTAGACAATTTTTAATAAAATTTTAATATTTGTTTTTCTTTTATTTTTTCTGATTTTTTTTTCTTTCTTTCTCCCTCCCCCTTTGCCGGTGATCGGCCATTGGCCATGGCTAGGCAGGCTGCCCTTGCCCCTCTAGGCGAGTGTCGGCCTCGCCCAAGCCAAATCTGGCGAGGTTGGCCCTCGTCCACGCCAGGGCGGCCTAGGCGAGGGCCGTCCTCGCCAGATCTAGCGAGGGGAGCCCTCGCCGGGGGCTCGCCCTCGCGCAGGTGAGTGTCTGCCTGGCCCAGGCCAGATCTGGCAAGGAGAGCCCTCGTCGGGGCTCACCCAGCTTGGCCGGGGCTCGCCTAGGCCACGCCGGGCCTCGCCTGGTCGGGCGACGGTGACCCTCACCCAAGCAAGGGTAGCCTGCCCAGCCATGGCCGGTGGCCAGCCACCGGCAAAGGGGAAGGGAGGAAGAAAGAAAAAAAATAAAAAAAATAAAAAATCGAAAAAATATAAAAATATTATTAAAAATTGTCCAAGTCTGTGTCGGCGGTGCCAAGTAGGCCGGCTGGCATCAAGTAGGCCGGCCGGCATCAATGTCAGCAAAATCTGTTTAAAATTAGCCGAAGGATTGAATTGACACAAAGATAAAAGATTTAGGACTGAATTGGCGCCAAAAAAAAGGTTTAGGACTAAATTGGCACAAATGAAATAGGTTTAAGACTTTTCTGACACTTTTCCCGCCATTATTACTTCATCAATTCACAAGATGTTAGAAGAAAGAAATTCTCAAAATTTATAACATTATTAGGGGTTTTTTTTCCTCTTCAAATCAGAAGCTTTAGTTGTATCCTCCAACGAATGTAGTTTTTTAGTGTTAGCTTCAGAAGAAAAGGGAAAAGGGCGAAAAGGGAGGTACAAGAAAAACAAAGGAAATATGTAATGGGCTTTTCTCGTTAGGCAGGGACCGAATAGGAACACGTGGCAGCTTGTGGCTCACTGCTTGTGTTACCGGGGATTACACCGACCGAGTACAGTATAATAATAACAATAATAATAATCCCAAAAACATACGTCAAACCTACTGCGAAATCAACAATGAACCATCTAGTGATTGGATGAGGGGATATATATATCAAATTACCTGAAACAACTTCGATCCAACGAGCAATTCGGCAACCGCCTTTACCATTGCCCTGCATTCCAAACCGGCACAGGCATGTGTAGTTCCCGGGCGTATTCTTGCACTTCCAAGAACACTGGTATTTATTTGGCTCTTTGCACTCATCGATGTCTACATTATGCAGAAGACAAGTTGAACCGTTATCTCGGTTAATGGAAAAAACAAATTGAACAAGTCTATGCATGGATTATTAGACAGATAATGCTATCCTATTTAGCTTTCGGTTAGAGTACCGTGACATGTGTTTACTCTCTCTCAAGATATCCTTTCTTTCTCTACTCTCAGTCTCCCTCTGCGTTGAATCCAAGCTCAACAATGGCGTTGTTCTTTGCCATCGACTGAGATCGTCGCTGCCTCTAATTTTATATGCAAGACCCGTTGAGGGCACACGAGCTAAGGAAAGGATCTAGAGTACAGAACTCGCCGAAATCGAGCATTTGCAATAATGCATGAACCCTATGTTGCAAGAGCCAAGTGAGGCGTCATATATTGGGCACGGCAACTGAGCCATGGAAGGAGGAGGTTGATCTTTACATGCATACATAAAACTATAAATACGAGCTATGATTCTATGAGTGAGGTGGATGTGCTAATATGCATATGTATCACTAAATAGGATGGACTCGTCAGATCTAACCTTTTAGATGCATTATAGTATGCGTACCACTTTTAATATATGTGTATATAGGAGATGAGGCACGAAGGTTTGAGAGAGAAAGCAAAATTGTCGCTGTAACATGGGAATAGAGTCGCTAGAAATGTTGACGGTGATGTTGGCATGGGGATGGCAACGGCCTTCACTTATTCTATTAGGCAAAAGGTTGGAACTTCAGGAAATTTTTTTGCCAAACCCAGATTTATTCGACCGGATCTATCATCATTGATCAGGCGGGTTCTACGGGATCAATTCCGGAGATGGATTCGGATCTAGACAAGATTCCCCAACTTTATATAGGCCTCCCATTAGAATTATATCATGCGGTAGGACACATCAAATAAATGAGAAAAAACATACTTTCCCTGTCTTCCCCCTATCACCTTTTACTCAACCCATCAGCCCCTCCACCACCAATGCGACCCAGCCACGCTGCAAACATTGCAGTCGTCGTGACCATCGTATCGCCATCCCTGTGACCGTCGAGATTGATGGTCAGATGAGTTAAGGTCACGACCCCACCCCCATGCACCATTGCGTCATCTCTCTTTATGAAAGGCCGTGCGAAGGCCGATGGCGGGCTTGCCTAAGATGGCAGCGGCAATAGCGCGAGGTGCAAGCCGGAGAGCGGAGGAAGAGGTTGAGGAGAGAGAGAAATCGAATGGGGGCTAATTAAATGGGTAAAATTAGATGGAATCAGTAGTAGGTAGATATTATACTTCCCTATCACGCTGATTAATTAATTAATTATCCACACAATTTATTCAGAGCGCGACAATGCAGGAAGAGTCGTATATGTTAAATTACCTATACACCCATCTTTGGGATTATAGGGATTCCCATTGTACCCAGGCTTGCAAACGCAACGGTAGCCCGGTCCATTCCCGAAGTCCTCACAATCCGAGTTCTTACCACAGGCATAGCTCGACTGGTTCAGTTTGGCCTTTTGACAAGTCACGTCCGGTTCGACCATCCAGTCCAGAACGAGTTCCTCGCCCTTGCGCACGTCCCCAAACCGCGGGAGAGTCCGGCCTGAGTCGTTGAACAATTTGTTGTCCGCCACGAAGGCCAGTGCGCACCGGTTGATCTGCAAGGCCGGCACGTTCGGGCCGAGGGGGAAGATGCTAATGTTGAGCTTCTGGAGCCCCTTTGGGATGGATGCTTGACAGCAACCTCGACCGGAGCAAGTGGTCACCTTGGCCAAGTTGTTGGTTTCGTATTCGCTGCAGAAGGTGATGCAACTGCTCCCAAACATCCCTTGGCCGTCGTCCAAGGCCGCGGCGGTGTTGCAGCCGAGGACGGTGAGCTTGTTCTGGGTGTCCGAAAATCTGCACCGAGGATTCGTAGATAGATCGATGATCAGAGGATCTTCATAGTCTGCCGGATAGCCATTCTGATCGTAGCACTGGTATGCTTCGGGGACGCTGACGGCCATGGTCGAGGCCTCGACCGAGATATTGCGTATCGTAAGATCCCCCCACTGGAGTTGAATACCGCTCCCTTCGGTGTCGTTGCAATTGAGCAAAAAATTTTCGGACCTCGCACAATTGGTTTCGACCCCGAACGGAAAAGGTATGGCCACAGCACCACACTGGTGTTCGCAGTTTCCGGGCACAGGGGGAGCGCCACCTTGTCGCAACCACCAGGCCACGGCCACCATCAGAAGCCAATGCACCGCCTTCATTTCGAAAAAACTCTCTCAAACTCACTCTCACGTATTTATGTCCGTTTTGGGACCTTTGTTCTTCTGTCCTTGTTCAGGAGTGGGAGCCGTTCTCACATGCCCATTATATACACATCGACGAATTGTTGAAATTAAGTTCAACAATGGAGGGGCGGAAGAAGGGCAAATTGTGTCAATAGAACAAATTGGAGGGACCCGATTGCATATATCAAGAAACGCAAGACAGAATAAAAAAAACGATATACAATTCGTTTTTTTTTTTTAATTGAACTGCCACTGCAAAAGATAGTTTACACATGAAGGGCAATGCACCTTTAATCATTGTCCTAGTGAAAATGATGGTCATAGTATATGAAAACGGACAGGTGATTGTGATGTTGAGGCTGCTTAACATGCTCTATCTTGTATCTAAGAAGAAACAAGCATACATAGTAATGAAAAATTCTACATGTTCAAAGAAATCCTACTAAAACTTTTCCCTAAGTGATATGACAAGTTTCAATTAAGTGTTCAAACAAGTGGTATCACCTTTGCATGGCTGGCTTGTTTAAGAAACCAATGAGAAATTGCCACATCATTTACTATAAAATTTTAGAGTATGAAGGGGATTGTTATATCAGGACACATCAAATTTGTGTCTACTTTACACGTGTTATGGAGTTCATTAACTTCTATGATGAAATTTAAACAATTTATTAAAGTTATGTCTAAGATGGCCTTTGAATTCTGAACTCGTACAGAAAGAAAATAACAAAGAAAAATTTTGTATAGTTCCTTTTTGTGGTCATCAAGGGTATAAGATTTTACAAAACCAAAAAAATCATATAGAGCTTTTTATTATATTCATTTTACAATATCTCATCATGTAAGATTTTAAATTCAATCGTGAAATTGATACCAGAAAAAATAATGAAGTTAATCTATGATACGGAATCACAACAAATAAATTTTTTGATCCTTAGGTATCTAAATTGCGATTGTTTTCTTCTTTTTTTGTATATTCCTTGTTTCATTGTGGCTAACTTTTTCTACAGAAAAAAAAATTAAGATGTAGAACTCAGTGGGATTTGCCAGCAAGAGACATCCCACTTTAGCGAGATTCTCAATTTCTTGAGAAAACCAGATGAACAAGTCTCCCAACTTCCTTCGGAAATTAAATGGTAGAGACAACACCGTTACTACCGTAGTAACGGTGCCGTCATATTCTCAATTGAGAGACTTTAGCATGACGGCCTCCGTTATTTTCAGGGAATAACGGAGGCCTCCCGACCGCAAAGTTAAATTCATGAATTTGGCAACTAGGACAAACTTTTGATCAATGACCGAAAATAGCCCTCTTGCTACATATTCAAATGTCAGTTACTAATTACATAAACAAGATTAAAATTTACATAATGAGCAACTTCAACAAAATTTATAGCTAGGTTCCCTTCCTTATGCTTCCCATAGATTTATCTTCTTAATCTTATTTTTTTTGGCATGAAAAATTGAAATACAAGCCAATCTTTGATTTTCCTTCTTTTTTTTCTTTTTCTTTTGTTTAGATCTTACATAATTGGCACAAATTGGCTTAGAATTTTTGAATTAATCTGAATGTGATAAGATATGCTTACCGTCTCAAAAGAAAAACATGTTCCTCGAAAAAGATATTTTTTTGATTTCTTATTATGGATAGAAGGATGGGGGTGAGGACTGGCGCATTAACCATATATTTGTCTCCCGCATAAGTAGTATTCGATTTGAGTTGTAATATCATCTATTATAATTTATATAAACCGGTTGACCCATTTATGACACGAACCCATTCAAGCTTCACACAAACACACCTCCCTATTTTTGTGTAAATTGGTCGTGTTGGAAATTGCCACCCTTAGGCGGTTCAAGGTTCTTCCTGGTGCTACTTGGAACCAACATTTGTTTTTGTGAAATTTCTTGTTAATTATTTTCATTGATTAAACCATAGACCAAAACTAAACAATCAAAATTATTCCATAAAATTGATACATTTTCTTTAAAGTCAAGATACAGAGACAAGTGGATTAAAATAAAACTTTAAATTAATCAGTAATTGGATTAAATAAACTTACTTGGTGAAATCTTTTTTTTTTGGGTGTCCTTCAAACTAATTATTACAAAAGAAAAACAACTGAAAGCTCATTTTAAGAAATTTGACTTTGTCATGAAAATTCGTGAGAACCATTCTATTAATTTACTCTTTGAAAAAAACTCACTACTCAGATTTAAACCAATTTAAGAACTGAAAGTGGAGAACGACCGTCATTTTGTAGGCTGTACGGTATCGTTATGCTGGCATTTTCTAAAATTTAATGTTTTTCTAATACATACATCATTACTCGTATAGAAATAGTATTATCAAGAGATGCAAGACGAAGTAAAACATACAATAAGAATTATCACTATTTGAGGTAAGGTTTACTTCCTTGTAGTTTCAGAACTCTCGAGCCAGACTAGTCACTAGTTCAAAACTTCCTAGTTGCTTCTCGACCTTGGGAAATCTTAATTCGCTTGTTGCATAAGTTGCCGGTTATACTTTCACTATATCATGGTGAGCCGACAGTGATGGGCTCACTCAAATTAGTAGTAGCTCAAATAGAAAATGGCGTTACGTGTGTGGAACTCTTATGGTAATGCTCCGAGGGAATCACCAATGCTAGTTGCCCTTTCCTCTCATTTTACCTATCATATATGTTAATATTATCACAGTAATGCTATTATGATGTAGAATAATAAATTTTATTTGTACAAGTATCCTTGTTGTAAAAATACATAATTGCAAGATGAGAAACGCTATATTGGAAAATATAGGGTAATAATAGTATATATAGCTGGTGTAAACAAAATTTTACATAAGCGGCCACATACATTATTGATTTCAAAGAGTGGGTAGTTATAATCCTCAAATCAAAGATGGATGATACTGCTTATATAATTTTTTTTATACTGGCGGTGTATGATCTATTTCTCCAAAAATGATGTAGTGAAGTATGCCTGGTAGTTGATGTAATATGTAATTCCTAAATATTAAATGAAGACAAAATTGGTCTTGGGTCTCATGCTTTCAATAATCAATCAACCGCAAGAATGTACAATGCCACATTATTTTGTGATGTAATTTGTGATAAATAAATTATTGACACAGTTTTTAATGGCTTAGATTTTTTTTTTGGACTAACGATAAGTTCACCACGGTCTTAGAACATAATGAATTATATTCTCCCTCTCAATTTTCGTGCTATTATTCTCATATTTTGTCAGTCTTTCCACTCGTTAATTATCTAGTAGGAAAATAATCACGGGTCAACTTCATATTAAATTGCTTGTATAGAGAAAAGTTTGTGGTTGTGGTGTTCTTATTGGATTTTTCTCGTGAGTACAAAGTTGGAGAGAAGACATATTAGATATCGCCATAAATAAACATATGAAATCTTGTTAATGAGTTCTTAAGAGCAATGGTGAAGTATACTTTATGGAAAAGGATTTGATTTATAAATATTAATGTTCCTATTACAAAAAAAAATCAACATTAAAAATTATCAATAAATATTTTTTATTGGATTACTTAATAAGTGTCATAAGGATGATGCCTTCTTAATATGTGAAAGTTTATATAATTGGTATGCTGATGCTCTCTAAATCTCTAAATTATTAGCAATTACTATGTGTAGTAATTAAGATCACTTACGGGAGAAACCCTTCTTAGGCGGTGAATGGAACACCGATTTTATTTCAATATTAATTTAATTCTTCTTAAATTAAACGGTAATAGACTTATTATCACAACCTTGAAAACCATGAACACAGTCCAAAACAGGATATTGTTTTTTTTTTTCAATACAGAGAATCCAAACTACTCCACTTAAATAAATGTCACGAATACACACAGTACGCTTGTTCACGTATATCTAGTAAAAGCTCTATCTTTAAGGAAGCTAGCGAGATTATTTTGAATGTGAGATATTGCAATAAAATCTATCACATAAAAATTAAATATTTAATCATTCAATCAATAATTTGAGATCAGTATGACACGACATGAAAGTTGTCTTAACAAATTATTTTAGTCATTGAGTTCTTTTTTGGGGCAGTCCTTTTTTCTATCATCCATTGCGCATCTCTATCGACACCAATCTAAAGTAACGTGTTTCACGTCAAAAGTGAAACATAGAAAACGACCTTTATATCAACCTTTGAGGAGACCTTATCTTTTCCAGTTGGCCTGACCCTCCACCCAAACATCAACAAAATGCTCCGCTTGTAGGTGAGTCCAGTAGATGTCCAACGTTGATTTACGTGGGCTCCATATAAGACAGGTGTCATCTAACTACCGAGATTCATTGGAATTCGGTGCATCCGGGTCATGCAAGTGTGGCCCGGATGCGCACTAAAACCTATGGGCCCAATGCCTGGCATATCGCATGATCCTCATTCGTACGGGAAGACCTGGTGACGGTGCACGAAGACTTACGAGTCGTCTCGAAGTCTTTCGAAGAACACGATAAAATGCGAGAGAAAAAGTAAAGAAAAAAGAGATTTTGGGATTCCCCAAGAAAATAAGTATGATTACCTTTACGTAGAATTATCATTACATAGATTTTGGGATTCCCCAGATAACTATTGTTTTCTAAAAGAGATTACTTTTCACATCTCAAATAACAGAAATAACCACGTCCTAGCGTTTGAAGAAAGAGTCCCCTTATATATATTATCAAATATTGTATACTCTCCGTATAGACTCGACATGTATCTGTAACCATATTTAGGATCATATAAGGATGTGTTAAAATCATCAAAAATCATAATCTTGCTATAATCTCAAGAATTTCTAATGATATGTGGTAGTGGTAGTATTTGATTAAATGAGATAAGCATCCAAAAGTACATTTGTAATAGTATTTCCAAACAAAGGGAGAAATTTTGAAAAAGGGACTTGGTTGATGGTTGTTATAGTATGGTTAAAGACATCATTAATTAATGGAAAGATTAATAGTATAGTCACAGGTAGACCTGTTAAACGGGTGGGTCGGGTCGGGTTTGGGTCGGGT